TTGGAAGGGACCCACAAGGATCGTAGAGTCCAACTCTCAAGTGAGTGGACCCTACAGGGATCGAACTCACAGACCTTGTTGTTATTAGCAACATGCTCCAACCAACTAAGCTAGAGATATTTGATAACAGCATACAGAAAGGAGAATGATAGAATAGGTAGAAGGTTTATTTGGGAATGAGAAGAAATTAATTCTGTTCCCATTCTGTTGATGGGAAGGAGTAGAGTAAGTATGTACTACTGTTGATTGAATTGCAAATTATCTTGATTTTGGCATATGCTTTTAGAGAAAATAAAATTAAACTTCTAATTTTATACTCTGAAGTAATGTAACTCAATAAGTTGCTGACAAACTTTCTTGCTGAAGAGAAGCAAAGGGATTTTGCCTCATCCTGAGCCCTTCAGCTTAGAGAAAGAAACTGTTCAGTGGATATGCAATGAAAATCTGACATGAGCAGGTCTGAAGTTGACATATGTGATGAATTTGATATCCATTCATCCTCCTTTTTTGCTGTGCTTTTGGTTTTTCTGTGCATATTTGATTTTAGGAGGAATTAATGGCGTTTTCAAATAGGGTTCAAATATAAATTAAGGCAACAAATGTGCAAATATGAAATAAGTGTTGTTAAGATGTAATATCTGGATAATTTTCCTCTTGTCTTTACTGTAGAAGATAAATCTACTAGTTGAAATTGTTGGGAAATGAAATAGCAAATGAAAAAACAGATATTTATTTGTCAATAAAAAGAGAAAAAAGCACTGCATGTATCTAAAGCGCTCATTTAAAGAGACTGCTAAGAGTTAGAAAGTTTTTGTAATTCGCCTATTATGAAAGCTGAAGAGATCATTCTGTAGGAGGTTAAGATACTAGTCAAGTCAGCCTACTTATTGTTCCATAGTTCTGTCTTCCCTTCATGTGCTCTTCCACAGAGTGTTAATCTTTTTTGAAGCTGTCTTACTTCATTATCACTTACTCTGCTACTCTAAACACAATATAAACAAATGAAAACAAGTGAAGAGGGGTGTTTCAGATTCTAAAGGATTATGACTATCATATTGTGTTAATTTTTCTTCCTATTTGAAGACTGTCTTGCATGGCTGTTTGACTATTTTTTAATGAATTAAAAAACAAATTAACGTTTAGTTTACTAGATTCCTGATACACAGTCGAAAAACTCTCAAGGCTTAATGTTTACAATCAGAGTTCAAAATGTAGTAAATTTGATAATACTGTGGAGAGACCTGTCTATTGATAATGAATTGCCAGTGAAATTGCATATCTAGCTATAGTGTATAAAAATCCATCTAATGGTGAAAGTTTGTTAGTTTTTTATTGTCTTTGAATAGACTAAAAATAATATTTTATTTTTAAGGATGCCAAGCTTCGAACCATTAGAGAAATTAGCTGTAAAGAAATTGCATCAGTTGAGGTTGCACAGTAGACAAAGCACCAAAAACTATTGCCATGGAAATCTTGTTTTAGAAAACTTGTTGGCTAGGTTGTTTTATCTACCATTACTCTCAATTTACAAACTCTCGTGTTAGGATGGTACAAACAGTTGTAGTGGTGTTATGCATGTAATTCACATGAACTTGAAAAATATTAAAATAGTATTTAAAACTGGAAAATGTATAATTTTTCCAAAATGAAATGTGCAGATAAAAGCAATCATTATTTTACAGCAACAGACAATTCTTTTTTTGGGCAGATAGATCATTCCATTGGTACCATTAGAGCTCCAAGACTGCTTCCTCAGGAAAATGTGTCATCTACTAGTTTTTTTTTTAATTTCAGATGTACTATAGAACAACCATTGTTTGTTTTATTTTTAGTGCAAAAGGAGTAATTTTTAATTTTCTGGAAAGTAGGACAAGCTAAAAGTCAAATAGAGGGAGTTTGTTATTTAGGGGGGAGAAGGAATTTGCCTCACTAATGCTGGTTTTATTCCTGCATTGCAAAACTACAGAGAGCAACAAATGTCAGACAAGTCAATGATTTTAGGACTGCAGTATTGGATTTGGGACTAGATTAAAGCAGCATGGAGCTAGCCTAGAAAAAGGGTGAGCTAAACAAGTGTCATGTGATCTGGTTTCCAGAGATTGTGCAAGAGAGATGCAGGAATAGTTCTTTTTTATGTCAGAGGGCTACCAGCTCACCTTGCTCTGAATCACTTAGATCAGCTTATAATTTCCCCTTTGGATGGACTGATGCAGCATGCATTTCTGCATCCTGATGTTGGCAGTGTCTGGATGACTTGCTTACCCTCTCCTTTCCTCCTGTTTTATACTATCTCTTTGTCTTTGTTCTTTCCAGACTTTGTTTTGGTTCGTCTAATTTAGTGGTTTACAAAGCTTTCACTTACCTTCTGAGTATGATTCTCTAAGGCCTCTTCTTTTCCATTTTTCTCTGGTCTCCTTTATTCTACTGATATTTATCATATGTCAGCATTCATACAGTTCCAGCAAGTACTCACAACACTTCTGTTAATTGGTAGATTGCTTTTTTTTTTGTGTGAGAACAGAAACTGTAGAAAAATATTTGGAATCTGTAAGGTTTTTATTTTTTTCTGAAATTTCTGAGATTTGTGATCAAATGCATCTACATCCTCACAGGTAAGTTTAAATTAAGTCTAGCCTCTGGAAGGTTAGGTCCAGCTTCCCATACTTAAGAGCTTTGTTTTAATGCTTGGTGTACCATTAGTTGAAGTAACTGTGGACAAATTGACATAGTTCAGGAAGAATGCTTTCTTTAATAAGCAGAATTGTGAATTTCAGAAGTGACCAATAAGATCATAAGATTCATTAGATCAGATCAAGGATTTATGCAAGTGCCTCTCTGTGCTAAAGGGTGACATGTTGGTAAAGTTCATAAGAAGTTGAGCAAGTATTGAGTTATCTTTCTCTCACAATTCCTCTTTCAGGACATTGATAAATATGAATTATTGCAGTGAGTCCTCATTAATCAAGCTGCAGTTCATAGCTGAAACAATGCACACCAGTTAACAGGGGTCATTTTCCTGTATGGTCATATCTTCATTTAATGATATGCAAGGCAGGCCTGTCACAGTTCTCAGAAGGTATTCATTTGTTTGTTAGTTATTGTAGCAACTTTTGGCATCAAATACCAAATAATCATGGAGTATTAAAACTTGTAGACCAAATTATAAGCTGCAGATAGATGCTTACATAAATTAAAAGAAGCAATTTCACTAGTTCAATGCTGTTCAACATTTGCCAGTTCTTTTTCATTCAATTCTGTATTACAGTCTTTGAAAAGCTAAGAAAAAATATTTATGCTTAACGTAAAGCTAATTGTCCTGTGCTTTACATTCCTTAGCTCTGACAGCACCAGTTGTATGTAGGAGCTTCTTGCTGGTGTCAAGACAATTTAGCAGAATTTGGAAAAAGTAGTTGCCAATTAAAGGTTTGTTTCTTTCCATTTCTGAGGACCTGAGCCTAAAAAGAAGAGACTGTATTTACTCCATCTGGCTGATTTTTTTGCTTTCTTTCTTTTTTTTCCCCAGATAATCGCTAATGTTGATTTAAAATAGACTAACTGAAATATCCAGCTGTCATCTTTCCTTTACTAAGTCTTTCAAGCACAGGAACTAAATTTATTAATGTAATGTCTTAATACTCTTTCTTCATAGAATATTATTTGAAGGATTCCAAAGGAGAGAATTAAGAATGATTAACCCTAATTAATTCAAGGAAGTATCAACATAGCAAAAACCTCTGGTCCTTTTGGGATTAATATTCCCTGGAGTGAACTGCCTTAGCACTGCCTTAACTCAGAGGCAAAAGGAGGCTTCTCAGGGATCCTGTTAATTTAGTATTCTTTCTTCTTATATTTCCCAAACACTGCAGAGCTAGTCCTTCTTTGGACATTTTGTTCAAAGAAAAATGGTCTGTGTCTTGGGTATCTAGATTTGGGTTTCTTATCGAAGGCCCTTTCCAAATTAGAGATCTACTCTTTTTTCAGACCCTGAAGGCTTGAACTGAGCAAGAACCAACAGAAAGTAATTTTTCTTACCTGTATTTCTTCTGATCTGCAGCTTTTGATGAGTGGTAACATTTTGAAATAAATTTTTTGTGAATTATGTCACTCAAAGCAATTGGAATAGGCATGGTATGGGCTCTAAGTAGAACAGGAGTCTTAAAATGTTTTAAACTATGTTATTTACACACAAATCTTCCCACTTCTGAAGTAGTATTAGCATACAAAATTTATTAACAGGGTTTAACAAGTACAATAGCTTTCTTTTGCTCTTTGTGCTTGGACTTAATGAAGTATGATGTATCTTAGCTGCATTGTTGAGACAGCAGTAAAGTACTGAATTGAAAAAATAAAACTTGAACTGCTTGCATGGAACTTTGATTAAAAATATCATCTCTAAAGACTTTGTGTGACATTTTGTGAAAGACTACCTAATAATTACAGAAAAGGCACTTATATTAACATAACTGCATGATCATCTAAATCTACAGCTTTTGTCACAAGGTAAGGCTAAGATTCAGTATTATTTCAATACCAAATGTGGTCTTTGAAAATGAACTATCAAGTTATTAGATCCTCCTGTACTCATTTGAAATTACATTTCTGAGAAAGTTTGCCCTTCCCAGGTGTCATAATTTCAAGGAAAGTGAAATAATTGGCATTAATTTGGTCATTAGATCACTGTTTATTAGATACTCACCACTGTCATACAGTTTACTGAAATATATTAATAGAAACCTGAAACTGGTCATATAGTTTGGATTAAAACCATTAGAGGTGTGTTTAAATATTTTTAAAGTGGTGAGGCCTGATTCAAACATAAGTTGCTGATGAATGTGGAGACAGAAAGATAATATGGTCCTGTTCTGTGAAATGTAAAAGATTAAAAAAAAATCCCAAACCTCCTTTCAACCCTTTCCTAACTTTTCAGATGTTGTGAATGAGCACTGATTGTCACACAGAGAGGGTGGCTATTCAGATGTGAATTTTTTTTTTTTTCATAGCTGACTTTGGGCTTGCAAAGCAGAAGCGAGAAAACTGCAAACTTGCATCAGTAGTAGGAACCATTCTATACTCATGGTAAGTACTCCTGCATACAACATTCAGTCCAATGGCTTCTGTCTTCAAGATTACTCTTTTGGAGCAGATAGGCAAGTTACAATGTAATAAGGAACAAGGTGCAAGGTACCCACTCACAGCTACTCTGCATAACTGGTTGCGTGCCTATTTTGTTGTCTATTCTTGCACAGGGTGGTTACTGGGGGTTAAGTTGTTGCAAAAATGAACTAACTGTGATTGTGTAGTAACTTATTCACCTATATATACGTATGGAATATCCGTATAATAAAGAAATGTGGATGTGAAGTATAAAAAGATATATGTAAATGGTATCAATTACCATCACCACGTGATGGCCTTACACCTGTGAGAACGCTTCGCCTGTGCTGTAATAAGTAAAGGTTCCAAGCTATCAGGAGAGCTACTGATTGCTCTGAGTTAAGAGGAAGTCAAGAACTTAGGTGCTTGGCAATTGAACGTAATTCATGATGCCACTTTTGAAATTGTGGCTTTTGAATTCCTAGTGCCAGTATGATAATGATTGACACTTATTCCCCAGAAATCACTAAATCCTAAAATGGCTTCGAGAGTGAGACCTTGTAATATGTTAAATATTCAAGTCCCATACCTTGAAGACTAATCCTTGGAATTCTTGATAGTGAGCAAAGGCAAGGCTGCCTCAATTGTTTCTCCAAATACTCCTGAAGCATAGCACAGTCTCTGAGTGACACTCAGTCTGTGAGTGATAGTTTGGGTAGTTAAAGAGTAATAAGAGTTTGATGTAACTAGTTATGTGCCATCTTTTTCAGCTTCTCTAAAATAATTGGTTTTGTTCAGTTATAACTGGGCAGAGAAGCTGTTGATGAGAAATTACTGTGCTCTTCTAAACAACAGTTTAAAAGTAGATGTGTCAGAGGTGTCAAAACCATACCCCATGACCCTCAGGGTCACTGAGTTGTAATTTTCTTATCCTATCTAGATTCAATTCCTTCTATCCCCTGTTAGATCTCTGTGTTTCTGTTCACTGATGTCTTTTGGTCTTTTAATATTTTGTAGGAAATTTTTGTTTGAAAGTAGTGTTCTGTAGATTTAAATACTGTCTTTTTATATATAATTTTTGCTTATACTATATTTATTATTATTCTCATACCCTGTCTTTGTACATGGAAGTTCACATCAGAGGTAGGACTTTGGCAATTCTCTTTTTACCTCTTTGTCCAGTTATTTGGATGCAGGATTGAGGATAAAATGTCACTTACATGTTGCAGTCTCTCGAGTGGTCTTTTGGGACATTAGTTGTCAGTTCTACTACACAAGCAAAATCATAGAAGCAGTGATCCTTGTCTGTCTGCAGTCAGAAAAAAGAACAAGGGTAAAGTACAGATGTCTTTGTATTTAAAATATATGCTTGAGTAATATTTAAAATGACAGGCTAAAATATTAAAATCTTTCCAATGTCATAATAATTTAAGAATGTCAAAAAGGCTTTGCAAACAGCTGAATGCACTGAATGCAACCTTCAAGGTGCTTGGTTAGTACTGTGTATGACAGTGGGCTTTATGAAATAGAAACCTGTTCATAAGGAAAGAGGTGAACTGATTGAGTATTTTAACACAAGTCTTGAACAGAAGTCAGAGCCTATAGACTTAATCAGTGCTTGGACTAGATTTTTTTTGTGGGTTTTTTTTTTGTATGATTTAAGTAGATGTGAAAGGTTATAAAAATCAAAACATTGGGACTGCATATCTACCAATATTAGTTTTTCCAAAAAAAAAAAAAAACAGGAAAGAGATATGTGACAGCATTTTCATTTTAGAATGGTAGAAATTGTTTTCTTCTGAATTGACAGGATAATAGTTCTGGGTATTTTGAGTTACAACCCACCATTTTGGAGCAGACAATACAGTACAGAAAAAACCCAATAAATAATAAAAGTAGTGTCTGATGCTTATTATTTAAATTTGGCTATGCAGCATTATGCAGAGTGTTTCAGATAAAAGCATATCACTGTATGTACCAAACATAATTGTATTTGGGCTTGACTGAATCAATTTGCTAATGCAATGTTTTAAACCCTGTGTCATCATAAAGTAACAGCAGACAGTGTTTTATGTTTAGAGAGAGGACCTCATATAATTATGCTTTGTAATTGTGATGGTTTTTAATTTTACTTCATACTAGGTTGTATTCTACTATCATACTAATTAAATTCTTTTTAATTGGTTATATTCCTGAATTAAAGAATCCAGCAATGTGTATGTTTAGAACCCCAAATGTATTAAATTGGTGTGTTTACACTTAATACATTAAAAATCATTGAAAAAACTGCTCTAGGGAATTTGTAATGAATCCTGAAGTCTTTTCCCAGCTCATAAGTCACCAGAAACAATCTGCTCCAAGTTAATGGTGGCAGAGTCTTTATTACCGTGCTGTCTTGAAGGCCTTCCCAGAAGAGACACAGCAATTGTCCATGGTTATAGAGAATGATGTTTCCTTTCGCTTATACCTTCCATTTCTTTGTTTCACAAAAAGGATTGTAACTTATGAAAGGGACATATGGAAGCAGATCAAGATATACATATATATAATTGGATATGTATAGAAAAAATTTAGGTAAACTCTTGGAGATGAAATAAATTATGAGATTGGGATGGAATAGAGAACCCCATCATAATTCCTTGAGAACTTTACTGATCTTGAAAAACTGTTGAGAAACTGTGAGAAGACCCCTCAGAAGTCATTAAGAAGTGGGCAAGAAGATTCCACTTTAGTTGACAAACTAACTTGATCTTTCTGAAACAAAATTGTTCTCAACTGTTAGAAAACTGTTGCACAGAACCATGTTAAGTAATATTTGGCTTTTCGTGCTAAAGTTGAGGAGTTTTCTTGCTGTGGTGTTTTGAGGAAACTCTCATTTTAGTGGTAGTTAGAGGTACTATTTTGTTTACATCTTCTCTGATGTGGAGCATAAAATATTCCTTGTTATTACTTTTTGTTTACGGACTACACAGTCAGTCTGCATGCTGTGTTATGTTAACCAGATTTCTTTTCTAGTACTGGTCACTGCTTCTGTTTATAGCCACATCTTGTGAGAACACTGCATAAATCAGTATTGTGATATGATTTGTATGATGTAGTAGCCATCACAAAAACATGGTGGCATGACTCGTACGATTGGAGTGCTGCCATGGGTGGCTACAAGCTCTTCAGAAGGGACAGGCAAGGTAGGAGAGGTGGAGGGGTGGCTTTATATGTTAGAGAGTCTCTTGACTCTGTAGAACTTGAAGTCAGTAACAATAAGGTTGAGTGCCTGTGGATCAAAATCAGGGGAAAGGCCAACAAGGCTGACATCCTGTTGGGAGTCTGTTACAGACCACTCAACGAGGATGATGAAGACGATGAATTATTCTACAAGCAGCTGGCAGGTGTCTCAAAATTGCCAGCCCTTGTTCTTGTGAGTGACTTTAACCTGCCGGATGTCTACTGGGAGCTCCACACGGCAGAGAAGAGGCAGTCTAGGAGATTCCTAGAGCATATAGAGGATAATTTCCTGCTCCAGCTGGTAAATGAGCCTACCAGAGATGGGGCCCCACTAGGCCTGCTGTTCACAAACAGAGAGGGGCTGGTGGGAGATACAGTGGTCAGAGGCCATCTGGGGCACAGTGACCATGAAATAATAGAGTTTTCAATACTCAGGGATGCAAGAAAGGCCATCAATAAAACCTCTACACTGGACTTCCAGAGGGCAGATTTCAGCCTATTCAGAAGACTAGTTCAGAGTGTACCCTGGGAAACAACCCTTGAAAACAAAGGCGTCCAGGAGGGATGGACATGCTTCGAGGAAGAAATCTTGAATGCACAGGAGCAGGCTGTCCCAGTGTGCCAAAAGGCAAGCTGGTGGGGAACATGGCCAACCTGGCTGAACAGGGAGATTTTGAAGGAAATTAGGGTAAAAAAGAGAGCCTACTGATTATGGAAAAAAGGGATGACTACTCAGGAACAGTTTAGGAATGTAATTAGGTCTTGTAGAAAGAAAATTAGAGAGATGAAGACACGATTTGAACTCAATCTTGCCACTTCTGTTAAGGATAACAAAAAGGCTTATAAGAAGCTTAAAGTCATAGCATAGGTTCTTTACTTCAAAGAGAGTGTGAAAACAATTTTCTGTACTTGTTTTCTAACAAGTGAATGGTGCTGATCTGGCTTCTAAAGAGTTACTTTAATGTTGGGGGCTAGGGTGTAGTATGTAATAATTTTATAGACTCCACGATGAATTTAAACTGCTATGTTGAAAAAAACCCTGCTATTCTAGCGCTGTAACACATTGTAAACCAGCAGTGTACTTCTTGGAAATAGTTATTTCTACAGAACTTTTATAAATTGTACAGCAATTATTTTAATGTATAATAATTATTATTTTATTATCTCTATGGAAGAAATAATGATAATGGATGAACACTTTTTATTTGAATAAGATTAGTCATTTCATCAAACTAATTTATGAGCTTGTAAATGTCTTGTAGTTCAATGTTACTGGTATTTGCTTGCTAGAATTTTTCTATCCTTTTTCTTTTAAGTACTGTTAATTGAGCTACATTTAGATCAACTATGCTCCTGTGACTTCTGAACTATAGGACTTAAAATACTTTCAGTGGGTTTATTTCTGCTTTTCCCATTCTCTTCTATCTTAGATGTCAGCTCTATTGGTACCTTGGCAAAACCTTACTGTTTCTAAATCTTACTATTTCTTGTTCTGCTTTGCTTTGTTGCTCAGTATATGGTGTGTTGTTTCAAATTCTAGTGCCATTATATATCATTTTGCTGTCTTTGATGCTTCCTTAATAGACTGTTTGCTGTCTTTGGTGGTTAGTTAAAGCTGTTTGCTCTGTTTATTTGTGTTTTGGGCTTTAGCTTCTAGTGTGACCTTTGTTCAGTTACTTGCTTTTTCATGGTAGCCAGATTTCAAACCTCTGTCTCAAACCTCATCCTACCTTATCTTTAGTCTTTGCTCAGTTTTCCAT